TGAAAAGGTAATCACCTAACTTAAACTCTTCAAGAGTTTAGTGCAATTAACAGGGAAGAAATAGTGGAGATATGGGAACCAAGTTAATTGGTACTGCTCTGCCGATGCTGAGCCTGCAAGATTGCTATCAGAGACTAAAGGACAGTGTTTTTAATTCCAATGTATTTTAGACTGTCTTCCATCCTTCTGCCTCTGAGTGCAAGTTCTGGAGATTTGACCAGCATATTTCTGAATAAAATTATGACAATGTCTGTCATCTTTCAGCTACAGAAAAAACAACCAAAGGAAAAAAAAAGGGAAAAACCAACAAAACAAACAAACAAAAAACCCCAAAACACAAAACCAAAAAGAAACCAAACAAACCAAACAGCTATTGAGTGTGAAGCAGGGTTTAAGAAAAACTTACTGTCAACAGGTGAATCAGATGGTCAGTAATGGAAGGGTATCTAACAAAATGTTATACAGAAGGAGTAAAAAATCTCCATACAAATCTAAGGCATGCCTCCATTTTATCAGTATCTAAACAAAGGGGCCCTTTGTTGCCCTTACCATGTGCAACCACAGCACATAAAGCCTCTTGTGAATATATAAATTTCAAATTCAAAATTAAATTTTTTGCTTCTACTAGAATTTTACTTCTACTAGATTTTTTTCCAAAGATCTTACTCAGACAGAAAATTTGTGATCAAACTACTTTAGTTATTTCCTATACATTTGTACTTTCATCCCAAATCTTCCTTCAGCACTGCCACTGTTCTGTAGCCCAAGTTTATTTACAGAGAACAGTTATATTCCCTCTTTCCTTCCCATTACAAGGGTAAACAAGGCCAGGTCTTTTAGCCTCCTTCCCTGTTTACCACTAGGGAATGAAAAGCTTAAGTAAAAGAACCAGAACAATAAGTAAAGATGATGTTATCGTCTTCCTAATCCATATTAGGGATGCTATTAAACTCTGATATTACCAAATTGAAAAAGGATTTAAATGTTTTGTCAGTAAGTTCCCCATAGTAAAATGAATCCCCGTGTTCATCGTTCTGTTGCACTAATTAAACAGTTTCAACTAAAATGGTCAGAAAGTACGCACAAGCTGTTTATCACTGCTGGCCTTTGAGCTTCAGTATACTCAAAGGACATGCTACTTAAGATGCGATAATTACTGAGTTCTTACATTTTTACTGAAGAGGCACAGAAGAGTTCCAACAGAGAATTTCACATTAATCAGAGCTAACAGGGTACTTATTAATAATAAAGCCGTGATTATAATAGAAAAAACATTTATTCAGTTGAACATTTGTAGGTACTAATTCCAAAAACTGTTTAAATTGATATCAGGCAGAAAGTTAAGTCTCAGCTCTTTAGGGAAATTCAAGAATATTAATCGTTTATCTGAAGCATAAGAAATGTTAAAGACTATTAACTATTCATCCACAAACAATAGCTTAACCTCCACTCTTCTGCCTCTTAAGAGCTCAGTAATTTTTCTGACATCTTTTCTTTTTACTTTTTTAAACTCTGATGGAGGTTATTTCGCCATGAATTGGAAATGCCTTCAAACTGTAACACCAAAGACTTACACAAGAGTACAAACACTATGCTGTAGAGAGCACACTTTTAACTGAAGGGCAAAATATGGACAAGTAATGGAATTTCATTTGCTGTGTGCCTTTTGCACAGTTTCTCTCTCAAGTTTCAGGAGCATATACATGGTTCAGAAAATCTAAGTAGCTTAAACCTCAATTCTAATACTAAAATTTCTATAGAGATTAAACACCTTTCAAGGGTGCTAGAAGAAAATTATACAAATATACCCAACTGCCTAACTGTAGTTTGCAATAAAAAAAAAAAATGTCAGAAAGCAAACCATCCTAACAGTTACACAACTGTGACTGCGATTACATCATGGAAAAATGCTCCTTATTAACACAATACACCAAAGAAAGTTAGCCCTTGTTTAGCAAGACTTGTGCATACCTTCTAATTACTAGAAGTAGAAATTCAGCCTCTAAATGGACAGAATTTAAAAACTACAGGCTGTTTCAGACAATTTTTTTTTCGAAGTTGAACCCTGCATCAACTATGGTCTTTGAATAAATAAGGTAAAAATACTCAATATGCACTCATATAAAAAAATAAATTTTTAAGAGACTATAGGGGATTTTATATATTTATTTCAGCTTTTAAATTCAATTTTATATATTCTTTACTCTGTGTGGGTAAGCAGAGGATAGTCAAACAGTAATATCAACATGATGTAGCATATGAAAATTTACTGTTTCACCTTTTATACATATATGCATACATGTATGTTTATACATACAGCTATAAAACATGCTTGTTTAACCTTAGAGGAGACCATTCTTTTTATGCCTCATAAATAACTGAGGATTCTGGGCACAAAATGGCACTATAGTACCATTATTCACTACAGTCAACTCGTCAATACACTCAAAATTCTGTGTCACGAATATTTACGAGAGCAAAAGTTTATTAGAACAACATAAAACTTCACTGATTATTTTATTTTACATTTCTGTTACTAAATATATTGCTAAATGTCCAAAAGAAAAAAGTTTCTGGTCACTCTGAGCAACTTTATGTTTATCTAATTTTATGCCTTTGTAAGGTAGATAAGTTGGAAGAAAATTATGGCAATAGAAACAATTAACTAGATTCATCTGACAAAATAACTCTGATAGTCTGCACAGCATGTCTCTCCTATATCTGGTAACAATTAAATTAATTGCTAAACGTAAGAAGTTTCACATAATACTGTGAAAATTATCGTAGGTGATAATTTTTATCTTTACATGTAAATTTAACTTCACAAGTGAAATGAATACTTACAAGTCAGTTTTATGTTAGTTGGGTTTTCTTTTAAACAAGTTAGAATCACTGTATTCCAGACCTTCTGAATGTCATGCTAGCCTGAATTCAAAGCAGGTCACTTGACTTCTAACTTGCAGAAAGATCTTAGAAAGGGCCTACATACAAAAATCACTGGGGTTTTTTTTGTATGTAGTGGTATATTCTAGTTCATTAACCAGTTAATGAGGCTGTGCAGATCCCATTTCAAGTAGCTATGAACAAATACAGACAACATGTACACAAAAGCAGGAGCACAGAGGGAACTTGGGCTCCCTAGTGAAGCTCCAACTGCCAGTGGTAGAAATTGCATGTTTTCTAGCACACAATTCACATCATCTCACAAGAAGCAACTACCTTTTTATTCCAGGTCACATGTATACAAATCACAAGTTTCTCCAACTTTTGAATGTATGAGAGTTGATTTAAATAAATTAGTGAACTCCTCAAGGACTTTCTTCTGAAGGTACACAAAGAGCTAGCAGCAGTTAGTGAAATCATACACCTGAAGTTACACAAGTGCTGTCACAGTAACTAGACAAACTCTTTCTTGCTTATTTACATTACATTTGATAATTAACTGACAGTGAAGAGCTAAGGTACTAAACCTCTGACTTCTAGAACAGCAGTTTAACAATAATAGCTATGGGAAATCCAACTCTTTTCCTACTCGTGATCCTTGTAAAGCAAGCATCAATTACAACAAATAACTAAGGCAACTCTTCACAAAGAATGCATTGTTAAGTTATGAAGCCAAGATTTCAATTTGTAAGCAATGCTTTAAAAAGCCACTAAGCAATAGAACTCTAAGATAAATGCAGGTATTGAGGTTCAGAGCTATTTACACAGCTTTACGGAATTGCATAGCATAGTTCCTCTCAAAAATCTGTAATTCCAAGGAGTTTCAAAAGAATCAGTGTTTCTGGTATGGGGGTATGTATGCATTTACATGCATGTATATATACACATGCGTTTAATTTGGAAGAAAAATGCAATGGAACAGGAGAGAGATGTCCTTACTGCCACTGCAAATTCTCTGCTTTCCCCAGTAGAGGCGCTTTAACTGCAAAGCAAAACAACTGTGTGAAAACTGGAAAGGCAGAAGAGACATTTGCCTAAATATTCTGTCCTGAATAATGACTTACACTTAACCTTCTTAATGGAGCACAATCAGGTTTTATTTAGAGGCCTGTATGTTGTAAGCAGCATTGAAATAATAAAAACTCAATTTGGAGAGCTTAATTTAATTAACTACACAAAGAAAAGCCATAGAAATACACAACTGTTACTTCCATTTTTTTTCGTTGTTCTGTAATTTCTTCCCCTTTATACCACATCAGTGTGCAAATGCCTTACTTGGATCCTGCACTCCCCCACTGCAACAGAACCTTTAAGTCCTATTAGAGAAGAATAACATGATTTCTTATTTTGTCAGTGATCAATAAAAATTGTTGGGGTAGTTGGGGTAGATTTTGACAGGATTATCTTTCCCAAATAGTTTGAAACCATTTAGACCAAAGAAGCTCAAAACAATTCTTCTAGTTAAAATGAAACTATTCTCCCTAAGAAGGTAAATGTACAGTAGAACTGAACACTCCATGGAGAACACAAGAAAGCAGGAAAGAAACGAGCTTTGCTTAAGCAGGGTGGGGAAAAGAGGGAAGACAGGACAACCAAGCCTAAGATAAAGACATTTTATAAAAACACTATATGCAACAAAACTGGTTACACAAGTATGGGACAAACAGTAATTGAGACTAAGTACAGTCTCCATAAGAGACTCTAAATGGGCCTCTAAACATTCCCCAACTGACTTTTAGAGACACACCAAGAGGAAAAAACAGCTTCCCAAAAACTACTTTCTTCATAAAATTCACTACACAGTGTCTCAGGATGGACAGTCCTGAATGAACAAGAAAATTCAGATCTTAGATCTATGGCTTGGTAATCCAGACTAGTTTGCTGTTTAACACAACCTTCTCCTCACTGCAAATCAAGGCAAGTGGAACATACACTGATTCCCTAAGAAGTTTCCAAAGCAGCTTGGTATGATCCAAGGGTAGCATCACATGAAATTTACATTTAAAGACAACCACAAGGATCAAAAAATAATTTAGGGACTAAAAAGATATACTTACATCTGGATATTCTTTTACAGGCACATATAGTTTCTCTTGTAACTGTACAATAGGTCCCACAGCATCTGGTAATTCTGCACTTCTCTTCTCCGTACTACCATTTAATGTGTCGTTATACATGTCTTTCCGTACTCTGCTAATTTCTGTGGGGGGAAAAACGTATATTAGGCATCAAATAGAGTAACAGATTGTGATCTAGCATGACAGTCTTCTCTTTCTATTATTTCCCAAATCTTAATGTCATTTTCTTCTTCTCCTCATGAACATCACAGTAGCTGAAAAATCTAGTCTTTTTTTTTTTTTAATATTTTCTGTTTTGTTTGAGGTTTTTTTTTGGTTGTCTTTTTTTTCTTGTTGTTAAAATTTCAGCACCCAGCTTTCATGTCTTTCATGTCTGTAAATTTGCCACCTAGTTATCCTGTTTATGGAATTCAGCTATTGAAGTAAAAATTATGTGCAGTTCTTTAGAACACTTACAAGACATATAAAAACAGTTCTTCTATTTATTTTCTTATTTAAGCATGTAGAAAACAAAACAAAATTTACAAATCTGCATCTAACATTAAAAAAAATTAATAATAGAAAAATACAGTACTTTTTGCTAGTTATGGGATAAACTACTGTATTTGGATATTAAATGGCGCATCTTTCAGCAACAAGAAACAGGATAACTCAAAGGTGGAGCTACTAAGCACACAGTCTGACAGATAATAAACTAATAAACTAGTACATATTGTTCTACTGACTACCCCCAGTGAGATAATGAAAAAACAAAGACAACTGCAGTATCAGTCCTGGGCAACCTCTACATACACCCACAAGTTCTGCTACTTCATTTCAAAGTAATGAAAATCTTCTCAACAGCACCAGGGAATGTCAAAGGTGAACTTGTAAGTACTGTTTATACCATTTACACCTGTATTACTCACACCTTGAAGTATTTACTTGAAAGACATAGTTCAGAAGTTATAAACAAGGTAGTTAAAAAAAGAATAATTTGATTCAAATCTAGGTTAGTATCACTAAACTATAATAATCTGAGAATGGTCACAAAGCTTTCTCTTGTTTAATCAAAAAACACATTTAACAAGAGGGTACATTTTATTTCTAAAACTGTTAAACAGGTATCTAAATTGCTGCTGTAAGGATAAAAAAAATCCCATATTTCATAATGTATGGAATCCCAACTAGCATAAAAGGTTCTCAGTGAGTTTATTTTTATATCATTGCAGAATTACTTAAAATTAATGTATTAATCAAGTTTCAAACATAAAAACTAACATTTAAAACTAACATTTAAACAGGACTGTTTCCAAAGCAGTAATACTTATAATAGCACGGGCGGTAAAGTAAAACCAGGTATCAGTAATTCCAGTCTTTTCATTACAAGTGTTACAACTGCTTTCAAACCCTTCAGAATTAACACGACATCAAAACCAGAAATCTTATGTTTTCATCTATACACAGGAAGCCACAGAAAGAAGTAGTAACTTGAAACTCTAGCAGCAGACAGGAGATTAATATAACCTATGTTTCATAATCAGTTTCTTCTCTGGTAAATGATTAATAGTGGTGAGATTTCACCACTTGAAAAGCTGTGGGGTAGGGGGAGAACATCAGAAACAAAACATCTCTGAAACGCATATTCAAGAACAAGTTGCTTCTTCACTGGAAACTGACATAATCATGTATACTATATCATGATTTGGTGGTTAACACCTGTTTGGAATCAAAAAACACAAATTTCATCATCATATAATCATAGCTCAAGGAAAAAATCCTCATCTCCTTCTACACTGACAATTTTGGCAACAAGCACAAATTCCTCAGAACTACAAGCAGTATTTATACTGGCTTCAGTATATAAAGAAATTCTTTAGCACATCTCTTGGAACAAATATTATTATCTTTTGGCAGACTCTGTTTCCTTTTCATTCTCTTCACATTTTCCATTAATTTATACTACATTGAAACAAGCTAGGCAGTCTGCAGAAGTACTGAAGCTTAAGTAGCAGCACGGTCATTTTTATTTATATTTGGCAGCTACTGAGTAGCTGTACTGAAAATTTCCTTTTAAAATATATCTTTCATGCAGAACATAATCAGTAACATTTTCACAGAGAAAACGAACATGTATTTTAATCTTTCTCTTACAAATAATCCTATGTCAGATTCGTGACACTTTAAAGTCAAACACTGAGAACATACACAGATAGCATGAGAAGCTGACTTGAGGACTACCACTCCATTTTGGCTTATATGAAACCTAAGCTATCTATCATGACTAAAACTTTACAGAGAAGGAAGACACCTGCCAGCTCAAGGTCTTCAACTCCATTACAGGACCAGACACCCGAAACCTAGTTTTCTTTGCATATAGAGGTTTTTATTTTCTATACATTCAAGTCAGCGATAAAGGTGACAAATATCAGGACAGGGACGGCCACATCAACTCAGCAGTATCAGTGGCTCTCTAAGTGCTACCATTTCTTCTGCTTCTTGGCATTTTATCTTCACTATTGCCTTAGACACTTTTCCTAAGACCTCAGAAGAAACATTCAGAAGGAAAAGGTGAAATAACAAGCATGTATTCCCGGTTTTCTTTAACTTCGGATCAGGTCTACAAACTCCCTTTCTCTGTAATACATTATCTAGGAGCCACTCCTTTTATTTATCTGGTATTTGGCAAAACTGAAGGATTACTGAATAAATAACAAAATAATTAAATCAAATCTCCAGCTCACCCATTCTCTCTCACTTCAAACTATGGATAGAACACAACTTATTTTCCTTCCTAATATATTAGTGCAGCTCACTACAAGTATTGTCCCAAATACACAACTCTTGAAATTAGTTATCTGCTTGATATGCCTCCTGGGATTTTTCTGATTCTGCTGAATCCTTTTATACATCTTCAAGAACACTTTTTTTTTTCCTTTCATGACTAACAGCCATCTCCTCACCTGCCCCTTATTTAATCACATCTCTGGCGTCTCCACAAGACTCCATACGATGTATTGAATTTTGATGACAATCTTTCCTTTTACAGTCACTGTTACATCCAATTCAAGCTTCTAGTCTCCTGAGTATCTTGCAACTTTGCCACTTGCTTTAGGCAGACACGAGTATCTAAAGAATTATTCAGCACCTCCCTGAAGTTCATCAGGAGGGAATAAGGTTCCAAAAAGCCTCACCTGCACCATGTTAGAAAAGATAAAAGCGCTGCTCTCCCTTAAGCTCTAGCAAGCACCTGTTTTATTCTGTTCTGAAAAATTTTCAACTACTTAAAAATCTAAGTAGTGCAAAAGTAGGAAGGCCACATTCGCAAAACACACTTTCTTATTTTTTAGAACTGAATTCACATTATTTAAAACAAAACACAACAAAACAAAACCAAACACCAGACAAACTGAAGTAAACAGCCTTTTATTTAGATTTATTTAACATTTCTTACACACTACAAGTAGGTCTTCCGTTGCCCAAAAGCTTCTTTGGCATGTCTCTGATGAAATCACACTTCTCAGGTTCATTGGCAAGACTTTAGCTCCTTCACATTTACAATTCTTTACAGATTCTTCCATCTGACAGGAAGCTAACTGATTTAAAAATAAAGAAAGCTTTGCTTTCAAAGTGAACATCTAAGTAAAATTCCAGCTACTTTATCTTAACACTGCAGTGGTAATTATGTTGTATAATGCTCTAGGGATTTAAAACAGAGTTAGCAAGAAGAGATAATTATAATAGTAGATATGGCTAAAAAAAAAGCATACAGCAACTTCACCATACCTCTAAAACCTGTGAGTTCTGCAAATGCAATAACAGGTCTCCTTTCAGAAGATCTAACTACTCATCTCTACTGTAGGTAGAAGTAGAAACTCACATGAAGAATCTGAAAGCCCCCATTACTCATTCACCTTTAGCAATACCCTCCTCTGTACATTTTAAGTAGTAAGTTTAGCAGTAAATGACAAATTTGTCTTGCTCACAGCAAGGTAGCAGAGGAATAGATTCAAAAAAGGACAAACAAAAGGTTTCAATATATCTACCTTGTTTCACCTTAATATGTCATGATGTAGTCAGCCATGGTAGCAAAGACATGCATTCCAGTCCAGAGGACATTTTTCTTCTTCTATCCCTGAAAACTATAC